TACCTACTACACATTAGGAGAAGCCTCATCCCTGCCATCACAGAATGGCCTGGGTTGAAAAGGAGCACAGTGCTCACCTGGTTCCAACCCCCTGCTGTGTGCAGGTCACCAACCAGCAGCCCAGGCTACCCAGAGCCACATCCAGCCTGGCCTTGAATGCCTGCAGGGATGGGGCATCCACAGCCTCCTTGGGCAACCTGTGCCAGTGCCTCACCACCCTCTGGGTGAAAAACTTCCTCCTCATATCCAACCTAAACCTCTGCTATCTTGGTTTGAAGCCATTCCCCCTTGTCCTGTCACCATCCACCCTCACAAACAGCCGTTCCCCTCCTGTTTATACTCTCCCTTCAAGCACTGGAAGGCCACCATAAGGTCTCCCCAGAGCCTTCTCTTCTCCAAGCTGAACAAGCCCAGTTCCCTCAACCTTTCCTCACTGAAGAGGTGCTCCAGCCCTCTGATCATCAGATACCAGCAACCAGGCCTTCAGTTAGAAATAGCTGCCTTCTACACCGAAGTACACACTTATCAGCACGTGTAACTTGTATACACACAGCAGAGTTAAGAAATATTCTATAAACCCCCTTCCATCCCATTAGGACTAACAAAGTTGTGATGACTTCCAAAGAACTGTAAAGCTGAGAACAGATTGTCAGACCTCCATCAGACTGGTCAGCCACAGGAAAAGCAGTTCTGGTCCACATTCTGCACCTGCAAGATTCAGCTGTGCTCCAACTCAAATATTTGCAATATTTGAGAAAAGAATATTACTTTCTGTGTACCGAACTCCCACCAAAGAACAACATCGATCAATGGATGCTTGTCTGTAAAGTCCAAACTGTAAAGCTTTCTGCTTGTAAAAATAAATAAAATTAGGAAAGCTTCACAAGATTTACTTCTCCACTACCCTACCAGGCCATCTGATTGCGCAGTGGCACCACAAATATATATCCAAAATTCCAGCTGAAAAGCTTTCTGCTTGCTAATATTTAGTACCTGAGAAAGGATGGGATTGGCTTAACAGGTTTTGTCTCAAATGTCTCGATATGGATCCCAGCAGTGATCTACCAGCCAGCAGGCCAGCTCTCTATTTCCACCTTGCATTTCTAAAATCACTTCTCCATGAAAAGAATCAGGTTTCAAAACTTTAGATGTACACAAGCGAGGGCACATAAGTGCTGGGAGCTGCTTAGCATAGCAAAATGTTTCTCTTGAGTGAAAACTACCAGTCTGAAACCTCCTCAGGGAAGGGTGTCTTAAAGTGTCAAGAAAACTCATGCAAGCTGCTTGCCTTAATGAGTTTAAGCTGCTGGCACCAGAGCTACTGCCAGAGTTTCACTCCCCATGCAATTGTTTTGCAGGAGGGAGGAGCAATTAAAAAAAAAAAAATCATCAATTTAAATTCACTCACAAACTAGGAATTTGCAAAAGTAATTGGGAAATGATGTACTGGAAGTTTAGGTTATAGGCATGTTCCAAGTGAACTCGGAAAGTCTGTCCCTTGTGCTTCTAATAGTTACTGGACCTCCATCAGCTTTAATTCAGAGCTGTAAGAAAAGTGCACCCACTTTCTGAAACGAAGATCCTTCAAAGACCTGAGAGAGGATATGATTTTATTCACACGTTTTTTTATTCTAAGGGTGTTCAAGCAGTCTGTAACTTCAAGGCCAAATCACACCTTTTATTTAAATGTTCTGACAGGCATCAGATGGTAACTTCTACCCAAAACACCCCTATAAGGTAACAGGCAGTAACAGTTCCTTGGATACAATAAAGGAAATGCTGCAGTTTTTAAATTTGTAAGCCTAGCATTTGCAGTGGAGATACTGAAGTTGGGCTTTTCAATCCACAGGAACAACAGGTTAAATCTACAAATCCTGATGGGAAACACTGAAATAATTCAGCCACGCTTCCTCAGCTTGAAGAAGCTCAAAATATCATAGGGCAATGTCAACTGCAGACAGCATCTGCTACGCTGATTTGCATTAATATTGAAAGTGCATGATAATAAAATGACCTCCACATAAGAATCCATGGTTTTTCTGCTTGCTGTGGGGGTCCCATCCTTCCCTGTACTATGAGATTCTGAAGAGACACATAGCAAAGACAAAGCAAAACATACAGAAAGAACGCTTGAAGGAACTGCGTGCTCTTAAAATTTGTTTAATCTTCCATTTAGAAGGCAAAATCTTGCTGAGGGGGCTGTTTTACTGCAGAATACATTCAAAGATCAGCCGTTACATACTGCAGGAATTTAACCAACAAAGAGAGGGTTATAAAACATCTTAATACAACAATAATCCACAGCATCAGGCTGAGGAGAACACATCCATCTTCTCAGTGGGTTGGCACTTTCTTCCAATTGTCTTTTTGTTTATGGAGTTAGAAAGAAGTTTATTCTTTGATAAGGCATGTTATGCTGTGCCACAGAAATAGGTCACGGATGACACGTAGTTTTGTAATCACTGTAAATATGCATATGTGCATTTCAGATATGCTGTTGGTACACCACTCTGCCATTAGGCACTGAGAAATACAGCCCATGGTATCAAGACTGGCAGATGCAATCTTGTTTACTGAAAATATGGATATAATGCAGTTGTCAACACTCAAAGGACTCTTCCTAAGTAGTTCCTACAGGGATACCTTATGCTCTAGGTGGGACTGCATGAGACAACTTCCAACCTCTAAACAGATCTTTGTGCACACAACAACTTCTTATCTTTAGATGAAATTGCACCTCTCAGTCTGAAATCTTCACGTTGTATTATTTTAGCAACGAGAGCAAAACCACAACATCCCAGTACTCTGCGCTCACAGGAGAACCTCACAGCTCTTTACGTTTAGCTCCTGTATACAACTAAACATTCATACCAAACTGCTAGAGAAATGAGGCTCCAAAAAATATCAGCCAAAGGTTTTCTGGAACAGCATTAAGAAATAAGATGATCAACGATGTCCTTTAAGACAAATGAATAAATCTCTAATGGCAAAATCTCTTTGATCATGTAAATACGTGGAAGTTTGTTTCTTCATAAAGTAATACGAATGCTAAGCCACAAAATATTTTATCTTACCAAGTATCTGATCTATTACTGCAACTAGATGCTGAAGTTCCCATGAATGCTAAACTTACCAAACACTGGATAGCGTTATAAATAAAACCTTCAGTCTCAGATTATTACATATAATTGCTTGGTTAGAAAAACAAAAAGCCTTCATGATTTGGCATTCCTCTTTCAAACACAAACGCACTGAAAGCGCTTTCAAAATCTCTATCCTTCAACTATAAATTTACACTGTGAGTTTATATCTCAGCTTTATTATCAGTATCTACGTTTGAGTGTTGGCTGCCTGGGGCAAGGACTGAGTTCATACAGCACCCAAACCATACAGCAAGCGCTGGATTCATCTCTATTAAGCAAAAAAAATCCAGGTGGAAAGAGAGAGAAGAGATACCAACGATAGCAGCAAATCCACATAAAGGAAATAAATTACGTGCAATAGTTCCTTTCTATCTGAGATTTTAAAACTGGTGTTTTTAGCCACATAAGTTGCATAGAGTTCTGCAACCATAGCATGCATGTTGTCCAGCAATTCCAACAGAAGGAGGGCACAACTTTTGCAGGTGAAGCTGCAGCCAGCGCAGAGACAGAGCACCTCCACAAATCGCTGCTGGCACCACAGCTCCTGCACTCAGTCCACACTCATTCCCACCACCGTTCTCTCGATTCACACCGCATCCACCACTGCCAACACAGCGTGTGCCAGTTGCCATTCCCAGAACAATACGCAGCTCCCCTGGAAAGACAAATCTCACGTTCCTCACATGTTTTGTGTGTACAGCACTTCCTCCTCTTTCCCTTCCATCACTTCCACAGCATAGCGTGACAAAACTCAGCGACGACCACAGAACACACCATTAAAAGAGAAACGCGCCTCAAAGAATCCGTTCTTTGCACTTGCGAGCTAAAAAGCAAACCAAAAACGCGGCGACACGCATCCTACAACCGACATCCCGAGGGCAGCGGGGAGAGGAAAACACCGCAGCAAGGAGCTGAGGGAGAGGAAGACCGTCCGTTTTCTCCCTACCTGCACCTACACGACAGCGGGCTTCCGCAGGAGCCGCCTCCTCACCTGACACCTCCAGGAAGGAGCGCGTTTAATCGCGATTGGAATCACAGCCCTCACCTCGGCCGCGGTGGGGGGCACACAAAGCCGGCTTTGGGGGCTGCCATCTCCCCACCCCCCC